TATTTTCCTCCTTTTATTTCTAAAATAAAAAAAAAAGAGTTGGTTCTTTGAAAGAATAAATAAAATAGATAAATCCCTAGCCAACCTTTTCTTTTTTTTGTTTTTTTTGTTTTTTTTTTTGTTTGTTTGTTTGTTTTGTTTGTTTTTGTTTTTCTCCGGTACCGGGAACCGAACTCACGACCTTGCGCTTGCCAGGCAGGTGCTTTTGCGGCTGAGCTAAATCCCCAGCCCCCGCTAGCCAACCTTTTCAAAGAAAGGGAAGACAAAACTGAAATACATGCAATAAGGAATGAAAAAGATGAAATCACCACAGATCCTGAAGAAATTCAGAAGATCATCAATACCTCCTTTCAAAATCTTTACTCTCACAGGATGGAAAACACAGAGGAAATGGACAGATTTCTAGATACATATGAATTACCAAAGCTGAATGAAGAAGATATAAAAATCCTGAATAACTCAATATCAGCCAGTGAAATTGAGAATGTAACGAAAAACTTGCCAATGAAGAAAAGCCTGGGTCCTAATGGATTCATAGCTGAAATTTACAGGAAATTTAGAGACAATTTAACACCAATTCTACTCACACTCTTTAATGAAATTGAAAGGGAAGGAATTCTCCCCAACTCATTCCTGGAGGCAAGTATTATCCTGATACCAAAACCAGAGAAAGACCCAACCAAAAAAGAGAACTACAGGCCAATCTCCCAAATGAATATACATGCAAAATTTTTCAATAAAATACTAGCAAACAGAATACAACAAATCATCAAGAAGATTATCATCATGACCAGTGAACTCATACCAGGAATTCAGGGGTGGTTCAATATACATAAATCATCAATGTAATACATCATGTCAATAGAGCCAAGGACAAAAATCACATGATCATCTCCATCGATGTAGAGAAAGTCTTCAGTAAAGTCCAACACTCATTCATGATAAAAACCCTACAGAAAATAGGAATAGATGGCCTTTTCCTCAAGCTGATCAAAGCCATCTATTCAACAAACATGTATTGAGCTCCGGTGATGATCCAGAGACGCCACTGATATACCAGAGCAAACAAGGCAGAGTCTCTTCCTCTAACTCCTCCAATTTTCATCCACTAAGAGCCTTAGTCATAACAGAGCTGACAGGGGCCAGGGATAGCTCAGTGGCACAGCACCTGCCTGACAAATGCAAGGTCCTAAGTTTGATTCCCAGTACCAAAAAACAAAAACATAACTGAGCTGGCAAATAGTGAATCAAATATATAATCCCTGCCTTGCTCCAACATTAAGAAGGAGAAGTGAAAGAGTCTGCTCTTTCTTTCCTGTCTTAGAGGTCTTATATTTCCCCCAGGATGAAAACTAGGGATACATAGATATGTTCAGGAAACACTACTGCCAAACAGAGACAGCACAAACACCATGATCAGCACACAGACCTGCCCTGGCTGTACGTCACTGCTCATGGCCTAAGGCCATGAAGAGGCCAATAAAGGCGAGAGCTCAAGAACACCAGCCCAGATCCAAGGCTTCTTCTCTGGTGCCCAGACATGCAGCTCCTAGTTCCTGTCTTTGCCAGCCTCATGTTACAGTACCATGTGAATACAGGTAATGTGGACATCTGGGTTTAAGAGGGGTCAGCATGAAGGGACAGGGATTTGGTTGCTCAGAAAGACAGGAACACAAAGAGATGTTGAAAGATGAGATACCCAAAGAAACGGCTGAAGAGCTGACCTCTGTCATGCAACATTCCAATGTATCTCCTTTGTCCCCAACCCCTGTATCATGTCTGATGGAGACACCCAGGGAGATACAGGGGAGGCAGAGTAGGTTTTGGTGTACTCAGGAACTATACAACATATGATGCTGCCTTCCTGCTATATATATATATGCTATATATATATGTATATCACTGCTATATATATATATGTATATCACCCTGAGACCTAGCTTAGGTCTACCGTATTTCAGCTCTATTTCTAATGTAAACTATTATTTAAAGCAAAGGTCCTATTCAGTTTGCTTCTTGGTGCAGGAAAGAGGGAGTCCTTACCTTTATGCTAAAAAAAATTCCCTCAACATCTAGTAAACAGGTCCATCTTCCATTTCAGCTTTCAGATTTTTAGTCTTATTCCTTCCCTAATTCTTTGTCTTCCTGGAAACCCCCAAACCACTATAGAGGCATCTAGGGATGCACATGGCAAAAGACTGAACCAGAACAACAGTCTTTGTTTTCCACAAGGAAGGGAGAAGCATGGAGACTTGTTTCATAATGCAAGATCACCCAGATATTTGGAATAGTTAGCAGTGAGTCAGGGAAGGAAAATAAGAGCATCAGCGATGTTCCCGGTGTTTTTATATTGGGACCCTAGAAGGATCATACCACAAGCAGATAAGGTAAAGCTGTTTAAGCCTTTTTAGCTTCAAAATCCACATCAGTGTAATAGGGTTAATCTATGCACTTGCTTCCCACACTAAGGTGTTGTGTATTTGGTAAGAATAGCCTTTAAAAGTTACTTGATGCTACTTAAGTCACTTCTAGTTTATGCAAAATTGTTCATTAAAATGGAGACAGAGATTTTTGATTCAGGAAAAATGGTGAGGCATTTGGATACAAAGTAATCCAGCAGATAAAGGTAAATTACTAAGCTTAGTGAGGAGTTTAAAACTATAGATAACAATATGTGGAAGTGATCTTGACAGAGATGAGGTCAAAGTTATGATAATGACTAAGACTTCAGAGGAACAGAGTGTGCCAAGAGGCTGAAAGTGATAGAACACCATGCCCTAGGAACCACATGTCCAGTGATTGCCAAGGACAGAAAGGTCAAGGACCACTAGGTTTGGAAAGAAGAAGATAGCATTTCTTTCTTTCTTTCTTTTTTCTTTCTTTTTTCTTTCTTTCTTTCTTTCTTTCTTTCTTTCTTTCTTTCTTTCTTTCTTTCTTTCTTTCTTTCCTTCCTTCCTTCCTTTCTTTCTTTCTTTCTTTCTTCCTTCCTTCCTTCCTTCCTTCCTTTCTTTCACTCATTCTTTCTTTCTTTTTTTGTACCAGGAATCAAACTCATGACCTTGCACTTGCCAGGCAGGCACTGTGCTTCTGAGCTATATCCCCTGCCCAAAAATGGCATTTTAAAAACTTTTAATGATTATCTTTAAAATTCTTTCTTGATTTATTTTATTTACCAGTTCCCATCCATTTTGCTGCACACCACAGGATTTCATTCTTCATAGCTACAGAGAAAGACAAGTACAGCATGTTATCTTTCATATGTAGAAGTTTTAAAAATAAGACCAACCTGAATATAGAATAGTGATTCCTAAAGATTAGGAAGGCAGTGTGGGTGGATAAAGACAATCTGGAATTGGTCAGTGCATGCTATAGGTATGTATTGAAATATCACCCTGATCCTTATTAATATAAACAATTAATATGTGTTAATAAAAAATTAATTCTTTCTTGGATTAAGTTTATGGCAGACTCTGCTCTCATTGGTACTTCCTAAGATCACAGGGATGGGGTAGACACTCTTCCTGTGTCAAAGCTGCTGAGTTGGAGGTCAAAAGGTGCTATCCTAAAAGCAAATATTTGGGTTATTTATTCATCTTTTTCTCTTTGTCTCCTTAGATTTTAAAATTATTCAAGGCAGGGAAATGAGAAAAGTGTTTTGGATTCCAAAGATGTACAGACACTCTCTAGGCCTGCCCAGTTACTTACACCAATATCCCCAACACTGTACCTAAAGTTAACAAATTCCCGTACTCTACTCATCTCTTTCCAGCAGTTTTGACATCATCTCTATTTGTAACCTTGCCCCAATGTTTTTTTCTCTTCCTTATGCAGAATTTTTAATAAGGAAAAGATGTTTAAGTGGTTTTGGGAAATGCAAGAACCAATGCAGTGCAGATGAAAAAGAAGTACAGAGATGCAAGATGAAAAAATGCTGCGTTGGGCCCAAAGTGATCCGGCTGATGGACACCTACCTGAAGAAACAAGTACCTCATTTACCTACTGAAGACATCATAGAAATGCTAAAGGACAAGGATTTTAGTGCTGTATTAGGAAGAAACCAGATTTTACCTGTTCTCAGCAAAAGTGCTGGCCCTTTACCCAGTGTCAACTCTGACATCATGTCAAAGGATGCCCCTGTGATGTCTGTCACCACCAGCAACCGGGGACCAGGACATACCACACACACTGCCACCTTTACCAAAAGTGACACCAAGCAAAACAGAGGTTCTGTCAACATCTCCATGCCACCACCATCACCACCATAGAGACTGCCAATGCCACCAGTGGAATTGGAGGAAGTGGATGAGTAGTGATGTGGCTCTTTCCCTTAAAGCATTGAGTTCTTCTCCATTTCACACTCCATAAAATGAGACATGTAATCATTGCTTCTGTCAGCAGTTATTCAATAAATACTGTTCAAATATCTACGGTTTGTGGTGTTATCATTGTCACAGGAGACTCCAAGAGGAGGCAGAGCTGGAGAGGCTGCAGTTGCAAGTGTAGATGCCAGGAGACGTGAAGGCTGGGAACAGTGACTTAGAGCACTGAGTTTGGCCATGGGTGGCCTTGGTGAGGTCTTCTGCAGCCAGCATGTATAACTCTCATATGTTGTGCTTTTCCTGAGCAATAGAAAAAAATTTTTGGTAATGGTGGTACTGGGGATTGAATCCATGGAGTACCAAGCAACACCTGCAACTCTTTTTACTTTGAGACAGGGTCTTACTAAGTTGCCTAGGCTGGCCTCATACTTGTGATTCCCCTGCCCCCACCTCCCAAGTAGGTAGGATTACAGGAATGAGCAACCACGCCCAGTGACACATTTTCTTTTGTCCTAGATGTTGGGGAAAGGATTCCTTCATAAAAGAGAATGTGGAGAAAACAGAAATAAGTGAAATTAATTGTAATACTATTTTGCTTAATGCAATACATCTAAAACATTTTATCAACATATGATCAATATAAAAATATATGTGTGATATTTTATTCTTTTTTAGCTAAATATTTGGGATTTCATATGTGTTTCCATTTGTACTGGCCATCTTCAAGGGCTCAGTAGTTGCATGTGGCTAGAGGAACCATATTATATTAGATAGCACAAGGTTAGGGAGTTTTCAGGACAAAAGTGGCTATCTGATTGTTAGGCAAGAAAGATGATACTAATCCAGAGAAGATAACCACATTTCTTAGGATTATGGCATAAGATTTGAATTCAGAAATTCAAATCTGACACCTCTTGGCTAGCTTCTTAATTCTGACACTTTTTAGCTGTGTGACCTTAAACAAATCATTTATCTATATATGATCATCAATTTGCTCATCTATAAAATGGAGATATCAATATATATACATGTATATTACTCTAGAAATCAGAAAGATCACATCATCCTTCTTTAACTGCCCAAATGATAAAGACATGCACCTCTGTTCCAATTTTTTTAACAGTTTTATTGAAGTATAATTCATGTAAAAGAATTGCACATATTTAATATGTATATGGTGGTTAGAGTGGGATGTCAACTTGATGGGTTTTGAAGTCCAACCAGCTGATTGGTAGAACTTACTCCTGGGTACATCTGTGTCGGTCATAAAGGCAAAATATGGGATTTATCCCTCTCCCCTCCCTCTCTGGCACTGTTCCCTTGCTGTGCTTCCTACCCATCATGAACTAAGCATCTTTGATCTATCATACCATTCTGCCATAACATTTCCACCTTGGAGCCATCTCACCATGGGATGAATCCCCTAAAACTGTGAACCAAATTAAATCTCTCCTCTTTGAGGACATAGGCATTGGGTATTGTGTCCAAGCAACAGGAAAGCTGACCAATATAGTGAGTGTACCTGACCTTGAGTTTTAAAAACCTTCAGAATTGATTTACAGGAGGAGTTTGGAAAGGTTTAGGGGTGCTAGCTAAAGAAGTCCTAGAATGGTTTAAGCACAGCCCTGATGGGTAATTCTCATTAGAGTTCAGAAGACCAGAATGCTACTAGGAATGTGGGCAGTAAAGGTCAGCATCCAGAAGTTTCAGTTGGGAAGAACTTCATTGAGAGTTAGAATAGAGGCTATGGATATTATATTCTGGCAAACAACTTGTCTTCATTTTACCTAGGTCCTAAGACTGTATGAGGCTGAATTTAAAAGTAGTAGACTAATTAATCTGTCATAGGAAATTTTAAGAGAGCCCAGCATTCAGGCTGTAGCATGAATAGTGCTGGCTGCTTTTAACCAGATTGATAGTGAGAACTAGAGGCAAAATGCAGAGCAAAATAATTTGGAAAACTTAAATTTTGGCCAGAATCAAGTGTGTATCAAGTTAGATCCAAAGGAAATGTGGTTCCTAAAGAGATTTGTGCCATTGAAAAAAATTAAATACTTTGTACAGGGACAAAAAGAAAGATGCCTTGAGGGCATCTCAGGAAGCAGGAAGAAACCACATTAAAGACTCAAAGGAGCACAAATAACCTTTCATTTGAGATCCCCTGAGCCTCTTGCTTAAGAATGGCTGCCTAAGGAATTGTTTTCCTGAGATTCATTTTACTGTGCTCAGCGATCCAGGCACTCAGAGGACGCTACAACCATAGTCTAAGGAGCTCTGGCTATTGCCTGTACTGGTGGTACATGTTGTCATTATCCACATGGTACTGATTTTACAAGTATTCAGAAGGCAAGAGTTGTGAGCTCAGGGAGTCTTTCACCCAGATTTTGAAAGAAGACCTGGCCAGGCATGGTGGCACACACCCATAATCCCAGCATTTGGGAGGCTGAGGCAGGAGAATCATTGGAACTTTGGAACCAGCCTGGGCTACAAAGTGAGCTCAAGGCCAGCCTGAACTGCACAGCAAGACCCTGTCTCAAAAAGACAAAAAAAGAAAGCCTAGGAGGTCAGACAATATGTTCCTGAAAGGGCCACAGGTGGATCTAAAGGTAATGAATGAAGCTAAAAGTAAAATGGAGACTGCAGGAAGTCAGAGATGCCAGGAACATGGAATGTCTGCTAAAAAAGCTGCAGGCCACAAGCATAGCCAGCCCAAGGGAGAAGTCATAGGGATGGAGCCACCCAGGCTTGCTAGAATGCACATTTTACTACCATGCATCCTGTGTGCCACATACAGAGTTACTGTATCCTCAGGCTGGCCTTGAATTCACTATGTAGCTCAGGGTAGCCTTGAACTCATGACAATCCTCCTGCCTCAGCTTCCTGAGTATTGGGATTACAGACATGTCCCATCATTCCTGGCCAACATTCTTTCTCTTTTTCACACCTGTCTTCTTCACCAGTCTCCAAAAATTTAGATAATTTTCTTTGTCTTTCAACCTTGTTTCTGATCTCTTTCTCTTCTTCTATTTCTCTATTCATTTCCTCCTATCCCTTTTACATTTTCTCACCAGAAGGTAAAATCACTCAACTGAGGGGGTATTTGATGCATATAAATTTCTGGTTTGTTTTGTATTTTATTATGTAACTATAAATCCTGTTCATATGGTTAAAGGTATTAACTTAACACTTACCACAGTTTGTCCCTTTCTAGGCTTTGCTAGATCCTATTGTTATTACTGACTGTACTACTTTAGCCATGGTGACATAGTTGTGCTAATCAGTTGTTCTTCCTTTTTTCCAAGACTGAGATTGTCTGGAGTCATAAACAATACTATAGTCCAGCACCAAATGCTAAGAGGCAGCAATTTCTCCTCCTTAATAAATTGAACAGGTAAGATCTTATAATAGACTCAAAATCCAAAGATCAACCACACCTAGAAAACCTCACTGAAAAGTAATCACTTTCTAAGTAGTCCTTAATATTAGTAATAAAGGTACCTACCATAAGTAATTTACAAGCATCAATGCAGAAAATAATTTTTAAAAACAGGAAATGAGAAGACATGGAAGCAAGATGCAACCCCAGACCTCCAGCTTGCCCAAGGCAAACCCAGGGAACAGTGAGGTGGAACAAATAAAAACCTATTCTGAAATAGTAATAGCAGAAATAACAAAGCAGACAAATGAGGCTCTAGAAAAAACAAATCAGAAATAATTTCTCAGATAACTAGATGTTCACCATAATGGATTACATAAAAGCAAATGGTGCATAAAACAGACTCATATAGACATCCAGGAGATTAAAAATTCTGCTGAAATTATATGCACCAGAATCAACCAGTCTAAAGATAGAATATCAGATCTAGAAGACAGCGTTGTGGTTGGTGATCACCAAAGGAAAGACTTCTTAAAAATAGCAAGAGACTAGGAAAAATCAATCCAATAGCTGTTAGATGATGCATGAAAGAATACCATACAATTATTTAGAATGAATCAAAAATCAGAAGATAGCACAAAGGATTAAAAAAAAATCTGTTCACAGAAGTAACAGCAGAAAACTTTCCAAGCATGGAAAAAGAATTCAATATCTAAATAAATAAGCGAGGCATATAGAACTCCAAATAGCCATGATCTTAAAAATACACCAAGGAATATAATGGTTAAGACTCCACAAATTCAACACAAGAACAGAGTGTTAAAAGCTGTTAGAGAAAAGAAACAAATCATTTATAAAGGAAAACCCATCAATCTCAGCATATTTTTCAACACAACCCCTTAACTCAAGGAGAAATTTGACTGAAGCACTGCAAGCCCTAAAAGAAAACAACCTCCAATCCAGATTGCTGTACTCCACAAAATTACCTTTCAAAATTGATGGAGAAATAAGACACTTCCATGATAAAGAACACCTGAAGAAGTTCATGACCACTAAACCAGCACTCCAAAAAGTTCTGAAGGATATTCTACAAAGATAACAAAAATAATGCCAAGACTCCCAATAGAATGAGTCCACCAGGCAAGGGAAGCAAGGAAACACAGGGGAAAAGAAAGAGAACCAACAGGAAAATAATACAATGACAAGGATAAGTTATAACCATCAGTGTAAATTGGTGAATCTCAATTCACCAATCAGTGTAAATTGGTGAATCTCAATTCACCAATCAAAAGAAACAGATTGGCAGAATGGATCAAGCAATGAGATCCAACAATATGCTGCATACAAGAAACACATTTAACTCAAAAAAATTCATAGGGTGAAAATCAAAGGATGGCTGCCACATCCCATGCAGCTCTCAAAGTTCCCAGGGGAAAGAATGGTGAGAGGATGGAGAAATAAAAGAGGCAGAAAGCTGAGGTCAGGTGGATTTCTCTCTCTGGCTGGAAGAAAAGGAATTGTCAAGGACTGCAGAGCATTTATTTGTACATTCAGGAGGTTGATGTCAATT